CTGGAAGAAGATTTACCAAGCCAATGGCCCCCGAAAACAAGCAGGAGTAGCAATACTTATCTCTGACAAAGTAGACTTCAAACCTACATTGATCAAACGAGATAAAGAAGGACATTCCATACTAATAAAAGGGGAAATAGACCAAAAGGAAATAATAATCATCAATCTGTACGCACCCAATGTCAACGCACCCAATTTCATCAAACATACCCTGAAAGACCTAAAAGCATATATAAACGCCAACACAGTGGTTGTGGGAGACTTTAACACTCCATTATCATCAATAGATAGGTCATCCAAACAAAAACTCAATAAAGAAATCCAAGATCTAAAATATGCAATAGATCAAGTGGACCTAGTAGATGTCTACAGAACATTTCATCCAACCTCTACACAATATACATTCTTCTCAGCAGCCCATGGAACCTTCTCCAAAATAGATCATATCCTAGGGCACAAAGCAAGCCTCAGCAAATATAAGAAAATAGAAATAATACCATGCATACTATCTGACCACAATGCAGTAAAAGTAGAACTCAACAACAAAAGTAAAGACAAAAAACATGCAAACAGCTGGAAACTAAATAACTCATTACTTAATGAAGAATGGATCATCGATGCAATAAAAGAGGAAATTAAAAAGTTCCTGGAAGTCAATGAAAATGAAAACACAACCTACCGGAACCTATGGGACACAGCTAAGGCAGTCTTGAGAGGAAAGTTTATAGCCATGAGTGCATATATTAAAAAGATTGAAAGATCCCAAATCAATGACCTAATGATACATCTCAAACTCCTAGAAAAACAAGAACAAGCAAATCCCAAAACAAATAGAAGGAGAGAAATAATAAAAATAAGAGCTGAAATCAACGAAATAGAAACCAAAAAAACCATACAAAGAATTAGTGAAACAAAAAGTTGGTTCTTTGAAAAAATAAACAAGATCGATAGACCCCTGGCAACCCTGACTAAAATGAGGAGAGAAAAAACCCAAATTAGTAGAATTAGGAATGCAAAAGGGGAGATAACAACAAACACCATGGAAGTCCAGGAAATCATCAGAGACTACTTTGAGAACCTATATTCAAATAAATTTGAAAATCTAAAAGAAATGGACAGATTTCTAGATACATATGATCATCCAAAACTGAACCAAGAGGAAATTAATCACCTGAATAGACCTATAACACAAAATGAAATTGAAGCAGCAATCAAGAGTCTCCCCAAAAAGAAAAGTCCAGGACCTGATGGATTCTCTGCTTTAAAGAAGAACTGATACCAACCCTCCTTAAACTGTTCCATGAAATAGAAAGGGAAGGAAAACTGCCAAACACATTTTATGAAGCCAGTATTACACTTATCCCAAAACCAGGCAAAGACACCTCCAAAAAGGAAAACTATAGGCCAATCTCCTTAATGAACATTGATGCAAAAATCCTCAACAAAATAATGGCAAATCGAATTCAGCAACACATCAGAAAGATTATTCACCACGACCAGGTAGGCTTCATCCCAGGGATGCAGGGGTGGTTCAACATACGAAAATCAATAAACGTAATAAACCACATTAACAGAAGCAAAGACAAAAACCACTTGATCATCTCAATAGATGCAGAAAAAGCCTTTGATAAGATCCAACATCATTTCATGATAAAAGCTCTAAGAAAACTAGGAATAGAAGGAAAGTTCCTCAACATTATAAAAGCTATATATGACAAACCTACAGCCAGCATTATACTTAATGGAGAAAAATTAAAACCATTCCCTCTAAAATCAGGAACCAGACAAGGATGCCCACTATCTCCACTCCTATTCAACATAGTACTGGAATTCCTAGCCAGAGCAATTAGGCAAGAAGAAGGAATAAAAGGAATACAAATAGGTAAAGAAACTGTCAAAATATCCCTATTTGCAGACGACATGATCCTATACCTTAAAGACCCAAAAAACTCTACTCAGAAGCTTCTAGACATCATCAATAGCTATAGCAAGGTAGCAGGATATAAAATCAACATAGAAAAATCATTAGCATTTCTATACACTAACAATGAGCAAACGGAAAAAGAATGTATGAAAACAATTCCATTTACAATAGCCTCAAAAAAATCAAATACCTAGGTGTAAACCTAACAAAAGATGTGAAAGACCTCTACAAGGAAAACTATACACTTCTGAAGAAAGAGATTGAGGAAGACTATAGAAAGTGGAGAGATCTCCCATGCTCATGGATTGGTAGAATCAACATAGTAAAAATGTCGATACTCCCAAAAGTAATCTACATGTTTAATGCAATTCCCATCAAAATTCCAATGACATTCATTAAAGAGATTGAAAAATCTACTGTTAAATTTATATGGAAACACAAGAGGCCACGAATAGCCAAGGCAATACTCAGTCAAAAGAACAATGCAGGAGGTATCACAATACCTGACTTCAAACTATATTACAAAGCAATAACAATAAAAACAGCATGGTACTGGCACAAAAACAGACATGAAGACCAGTGGAACAGAATAGAGGACCAGATATGAAGCCACACAACTATAAGCAACTTATCTTTGACAAAGGAGCTAAAAATATACGATGGAGAAATAGCAGCCTCTTCAACAAAAACTGCTGGGAAAACTGGTTAGCAGTCTGCAAAAAACTGAAACTAGATCCATGTATATCACCCTATACCAAGATTAACTCAAAATGGATCAAGGATCTTAATATCAGACCCCAAACTCTTAAGTTGATACAGAAAGAGTAGGAAATACTCTGGAGTTAGTAGGTATAGGTAAGAACTTTCTCAATGAAACCCCAGCAGCACAGCAACTAAGAGATAGCATAGATAAATGGGACCTCATAAAACTAAAAAGCTTCTGTTCATCAAAAGAAATGGTCTCTAAACTGAAGAGAACACCCACAGAGTGGGAGAAAATATTTGCCAATATACATCAGACAAAGGACTGATAACCAGAATATACAGGGAACTTAAAAAACTAAATTCTCCCAAAACTAATGAACCAATAAAGAAATGGGCAGTGAACTAAACAGAACTTTCTCAAAAGAAGAAATTCAAATGGCCAGAAAACACATGAAAAAATGCTCACCATCTCTAGCAATAAAGGAAATGCAAATTAAAACCACACTAAGATTCCACCTCACCCCTGTTAGAATAGCCATCATCAGCAACACCACCAACAACAGGTGTTGGCGAGGATGCGGGGAAAAAGGAACCCTCTTACACTGTTGGTGGGAATGTAGACTAGTACAACCACTCTGGAAAAAAATTTGGAGGCTACTTAAAAAGCTGGACATCGATCTACCATTTGATCCAGCAATACCACTCTTGGGGATATACCCAAAAGACTGTTACTCCAGAGGCACCTGCACATCCATGTTTATTGCGGCACTATTCACAATAGCCAAGTTATGGAAACAGCCAAGATGCCCCACCACTGACGAATGGATTAAGAAAATGTGGTATCTATACACAATGGAATTTTATGCAGCCATGAAGAAGAACGAAATGTTATCATTCGCTGGTAAATGGATGGAATTGGAGAACATCATTCTGAGTGAGGTTAGCCTGGCCCAAAAGACCAAAAATCGTATGTTCTCCCTCATATGTGGACATTAGATCAAGGGCAAACACAACAAGGGGATTGGACTATGAGCACATGATAAAAGCGAGAGCACACAAGGGAGGGGTGAGGATAGGTAAGACACCTAAAAAACTAGCTAGCATTTGTTGCCCTTAACGCAGAGAAACTAAAGCAGATACCTTAAAGCAACTGAGGCCAATAGGAAAAGGGGACCAGGAACTAGAGAAAAGGTTAGATCAAAAAGAATTAACCTAGAAGGTAACACCCACGCACAGGAAATCAATGTGAGTCAATGCCCTGTATAGCTATCCTTATCTCAACCAGCAAAACCCCTTGTTCCTTCCTATTATTGCTTATACTCTCTCTACAACAAAATTAGAGATAAGGGCAAAATAGTTTCTGCTGGGTATTGAGGGGGGGGAGCGGGAGGGGGTGGAGTGGGTGGTAAGGGAGGGGGTGGGGGCAGGGGGGAGAAATGAACCAATCCTTGTATGCACATATGAATAATAAAAGAAAAATGAAAAAAAAAAAAAAAGACGAATTAATTTAGAATGTAACACATATGTACAGGAAAGCAATGCGAGTAAACTCCCTGTATAGCTATCCTTATCTCAACTAGCAAAAACCCTTGGTCCTTCCTATTATTGCTTATACTCTCTCTTCAACAAAATTAGAGATAAGGGCAAAATAGTTTCTGCCTGGTAGCAAGGGGGTAAGGAGGGAGAGGGAGGGGAGGGGGAAAAGGGGAAGGGGTGGGGAGAAGAAGGGAGAAATGACCCAAACATTGTATGCACATATGAATAAAAGAAATAATGAAGGAAAGTGATCACCATATTCTCAAACGACGACTTCGAACAAGAACAGCCAAATAAATCACTTCTGGAGAATGTTTTACTGTAAATTTTATATTCATTGTCATTGTACCTTGCATCTTTTTAAAGATAATCGTATATACTGTAATGCATTACATCCCTCTGTATAGAGAGTTTTATACATGGTATAATTTTAATCCAATAAATAAATCAACAGTCAATTGTATACTTAAAAAAAATATTTTTTTCATAAAATACCTTATGACATCTCATTTATTAATCCATCTGCAATATGTAATAGTCCCTCAGGTTAAAAGTTAAACTCACTAGCCACCTTCTAAGCATATCAGTCTCATAAAAATTAAATTCAACGGCCAGGCATGGTGGCACACACCTGTAGTTCCAACTACTCATGAGGCTGAGGCAGAATTATTGCTTAAGCCCAGAAGCTTGAGGCCAGACTGGGGAACACAGCAAAATCCCATCTCAAAAAAACAAAAAGCCCAAGTTCACAAAACAGTAGCCATACACACTAGGTTTTAGTATCAACCATTTAATCAATCAATGTAGCCCAGTGTACTGTGAAAATGATGCTTACCTAATGGGTGCAGCAGGAAGATCCTCACCTCGAGCCTCATCCTCTTGCTGGGCTTCACAGATGCAGCTAAACACAGGCATGGTCTTCTGGGGACTAAGATAATACATTAAAGCAATATGTCACGTTAAAAGCAAAAGCACCTCTGGAATTTATCTTTTTAGGCAAAGAGGAAATCCTTTCTCCTCATCCCAAACTCCAAACCACCTTACACCAAAATGCAAGTTCTTCATCATATATGTTTCAAATTAATACAATAAAAAACTTTCAAGGAAGAATCACTGGAAAAAAGGTAGACAGAGAACTATATTAAATACTGTAAGAATGTAATCAGCAGAATGTATAGAACACAATCAGCAGAATGCAGAAAACAATATTCAACAGATAATTTGCAAGAGGGGACAAAAAAGACTTAATAGACACATCAATCAATGCAATGTGGAGTCTTAATTCTTTCTTATAAGCTAAAAAAATTATAGTTAAGAGAAATACGAATCCTGAATATTTCATGACATTAAGGAATCAGTATCTACCTACCCACCTATCTATTGATCTATGTATTTATTTATTTAGAGGTGCTGGGGATTGAGCCCAGGGCTTTGCACATGCTAGTGCTTTATCACTGAGCTATACTTCCCCAGCCCAAAATGGAACCTAGGCTAGTCTCGAGCTCATGACCTTCCTGCCTCAACCTCTTCACCTTACTGTTTACTGGTGTGAGCGACAACTGACCAATTTTCAAAAGTAAGATAATGTAATTTGGTTATCTTTTAAAATAAGAATCCTTAACTTTTAAAGATAGCATTGAAATATTTACACATGATATAATCCTGGAACTATCTTCAAAATAATCCAGTGGGAATAAACTGGCAGAGTGGCTCAAGCAGCAGAGCACCTACCTAGCAAGCATGAGGTACTGAGTTCAAACCCCAGTACCACCAAAATAAATAAACAGCCAGTGCAGAAAGCAGTGCTGTTAAGTTTTTATAAATGAACGAAGACTAACCATTTAAAACATGGTGATTGCGGTGAGCACATGCCTAGCAAGCTGGAGGCCCCTGAGTTCAAACTCTATGACTAACAACAAAAAAATGGTGGTCCATTATACTATCCTGTGCTTTTATATATACTTGAATCCTTCCACAGTAAAATGAGAAAGAAGGTGACTCCAAGCAATCTGAACAGCCTATTTATAGACAACAATTGCTAAATGCAAAAGAAGCAATGATCATTTACAATACCCTAACAAATCTTACTTTAAATGCTTTCTTATGCTGCATCCAATGGTAAAATGAATAGTCAAAATTTTTAAAAGATAGATTTTTTTTTTCATTTATTCATATGTGCATACAATGTTTGGGCCACTTCTCCCCCAGGTCCCCACCTTCTCCCCCAACCCCCTTGCTTCCAGGCAGAAACTGTTCTGCCCTCATAAAAGATTCTTATATTCAAAATTTGCTCCACAACAATACCAGTGAATTTAATTTCACCTCACTCTATCAACTACCACCCCAATCCTCTGCAAGTTTTTTCCTCTCTACATTCTACCCTATGGGTTCTGGAAGCTTTGGCTGCATATTCTGTTCCCTCTTAATGTGCACAAAAAAGACAAATGCCAAGTTGTGCTGGGCACACAATTCTGCTAAAGCAAAAATCTTCAGACACAAACTCTATCTTCTTTAATGTGTAAGACTAAATATCATTAAAGGGTCTTCTACTGAGTAAGGACCCTTAGGTACTTATCTTTCAAATTAAATATACAAGAGCCTGGAGAGCAGTTTATCTAAGACATAGTTAAGAACAGATCAAAGGATTTTGAGAGGGGTCAAAAACACAAATGAGGGTCAAATTTAATCCATGGACATATGTTAACTTTAATTTTTTAAAATAGATTTGACCACAGTAAGTTGCATTCTCAATGGCTGGTTTGTTCTTTTATTTTTTGCTGCTGTATGTTTGGGTTTTTTTTTTTTTTTTTTTTCTGGTAGTGCTGGGGTTTGAACTCAAGGCTTCTCTTGCTAGGCAGGAGCTCTACCACTTGAGCCATGACCCATGTAAGTCTGCCTTCTCAAATGACAGCCACTGGCTATAGCTGGCCACCCTTTTAAATGGGACACACATTCAGTAGGTCATTACACTACACTCCAGCAGTCATACACCTAGTCTACTTTATTTATTTACAGTACCTGCTTAAACTCTGATTTACAAATCCTCACCTATACTTCACTAACTGCTACTAGTGTTTTCATGCTGGATGACTCATGCTAGAAACAAATGAAACAATTTTACTCTCACAGCCACCAGATGGCAAAGCTTCACCACCAATACCTAAGTATGGGGTCATATCTTACTGAAAGCTTTACAGCATTCATGACAAAGCAAAAATCACAGCTCAACATAGTAGTTAATTTGGTAAGCAAGTGAGAAAATGGCCTGAGGCTGTGGCTGAGTGTGGGACTGCAGAAGAAACTGTGCAGCATCACTGTTCTTCATTTCCTTACCAATTGCAACAATTACCTTACACCAGTAAGAGAAAAAGAAAAAATGGGCACTCACATGAACACAGAGGAAAGACCTCTACATACCTTAATTTAAGTATAGAAAAAGCTTAGTTGGACTAAAAAGCATTAATAAGAAAGCCTATGATCAATTCAATACATTGCTAAATCCTTTTAGCTGGATTTCATTTTAAGTTTTTTCCACCCATGACCAGGAGCTCTTTATTAAACTCCTCTAAATAGCAACCAGCTCTGGTTACCTGGCAACAGCCTCAGCAACAGCAGTAGATCCATTTTTTCTTTCTCCAGTTGCAGGCTCTGAACAAAAACAAATTCGAGGAGAGAGAAGAGAAACAGAATTCTGTTACTATCACATCTTAAAAACCTTTACCCTGCTCTACTAGTGTTTTCAACAAATAACAAAAAGAAATACATATTAGCAAAACTAATAAGTGAAAATAAAAATGTTTCTTATAATTTAACAGTGTATGTTTTTCTCACTTTGTCCAATTAATTTTCTTTCAATCTTCCTATAGAAAACTAATCTTTTTGGCCAGAAATACAGTATGATGAATTACTAAACAGTAACATTTTTAAATGAAAATTAAACCACCCAAATCACAATTCATCTCTCCCAATGCAAGAAAAGTTAAATTATGTAAAAAAAAATTAAATTAAAAATCATAAAAATTTTAAAACAACTCTCTTAATTAAATACATAGGAAAATACTTTAGGTTGATGTACTAACTTGCAGTACAATTTTAGGAATACTCACAAATAGAAGCAAGTTCTTCCCAAAGCACTTTAAGATGGATATTTGAAATACAAGACACATTTCCAAGAAATAACCAGCAGTAACGATTTAAGGATAGTACTGAAAAGAATACCGTATTTTCATAGCAATGTCACTAAAAATGTCAAGGGATTAAAATTTGTTCATTTATAATTTATTCCAGTCTTAGAAAAAAATAACCTTTGAATGTTTTTTAAACATTTGTAAAATATTCATGACTCAACATCATCTAAACAGTTCATCAGGCAGGAGGCTGAAGTTCAGTGGTTAAAGCCCCAGTTTGGAAAGAGAAACCTGGTTCCCTCCTAGGCTCCTGAATTTAGCATAAGCCCAGCCTAGGGGTAAACCACTCAGTCATTCCAAATCTGTTTCCTCATGTATAAGAGAAAAAACAAGACAACCCTCAAAGGTCTGTTGTGAGGATGAAATGACATGAGTAAAACTATGGCTACAGTGCCTGACAGTGCATCTTGAGTATTAGGAAAGGCGGTACTATTTATGATGTGGTCATTCACAACATTTAGCTCTATCTAGGTCTTCTCAACTCTCATTTCAGAGCTAATGGTAAAGTTGGATCCAAGCCACCACACATACTCAATCTGTACTCAATCTCTGGTTTGTTTTTTTTGGAGACAGACTCTCACTATACATGGCAGGTTGGCCTGGAACTTGAGATCCTCTTACTTCAGCCTCCCAAGTGCGGGGATTACAAGCTTGCCTCATCATACCAACAATATTCTTTCTCTTTATTCCAGAGAAGATAATGATGGAATCAATCATATAATACTTTTGCTCCTATTGAGATTCTATAATTAAAACTGATAAATCTATTTCTCAGTAGAAACACAATAGCATAGCAGTTTTGGAACCATACTGCCTGGATTTGAACCTGGGCTACTCCAGCTATTTGATTCTGGGAAAGATGCTCAGCCTTCCTTGTGCCTCAGTTTCCTTATCTGCAAAATGAGGATAACAAGAGGATCCACATCACAGGTTTGTCATGAGATTTAATAAATGTATATGTGAATTGCCTAGTGTATAGGGAGAGCTCAAAATGGTTAGCTAAAATTACTTTCCTTGATCTCAGAGAACAGAAGACCCTCCTCCTCTGTGTGATCCACAGAAGTCCACCTACTCTGTGTGATCTTTGAACACTTCCCCTCTCCCAACACCTTCAGCACCTTGATTCTGCAACTATTTCTCCTATCCCCTCATCTTTAACCTGACCCTCTCTCTTTTGGGTCCTTCTTTTCAGTCAATAAACTTGTTCAGGCCTCTCCCAGCCTAAAAATGACAATCTTTGTGTTTCCCTTTAACTTGCCCTATTTTCTCTTCCTTCCTCACATAAACTATCTAAAGAATCCATTTCCTGCCTCCTCTTCTCTTCCCCATTACTTCTTAATTACTTTTAGTTTAGTTCCCACTCCAACCACTACACTGAAATGGCTATTGCTAAAGTCACAAAATGGATCCTAAATGTCAAATCCAACAAACATTTTCAGATGTGTCAGATCAGACTTCAGACCCTAAGTAATGACACAGTTATTTTCTTGTAATCCTCCCCAAACGCTTCTGTAGCTTCATACTTCTTTCCCTGTTCCTACTCTTTGAATGTTTGTTTATAATCTCTTTTATAGACTTCTTCCTCTCCAATCATCGTAATATTTAGAAACTACCTACTGGAAAAATTATAAGCTTTAGAATTAGAGCTGACTCAAATTTCAGCTCTACATTTTAATCAACTATTGTAACCTTGAGCATGTAGTTTAAAAAGCACTGTTTTCTCATTAATAAAATGGAAATACAGAAGCCTATTTTGGAGCACTATTATGAAAATGAGATCATACAGTATACGTAAAAAGTCAATTATTATTTTTTTCATCCCCTTCCATGTTCAGCTGGCCCCACGGCTTTGTCTATTCAATTCACCTCTCAAATTCATCCTTTCATCTCCATTCCCATTTCCAATAACCCCACTTCTTGACTTTGTTAGGAGAACAGCGTGCACAAAAGCACAGAGTTAACACAGCTGATCCTTTTAAAAAAGCAAATCTGATCATGTAACTTCCCTGCTTAAAATTCTTCAGCTTCTCAGACTGTCGAAAAAGCCCTCTCATAATCTGATTCCTACTTTAAGGTCACTTCCTTGCATCTTCTCTGTATTCCAGCCACACCAAACAATTTGCGATTCATGTGGAAAAGAGTTAACATAAATATAAATCTATAACGTAAGTCCATAATCCTAACTTTTCTACTTTCTTCTAAACTCTTTCTAAATATGAAAAGCAATTACTTAATGTGACACAGGTTTAATACAGAGGTACAAGCATCAGAGAATACCTTCGGTAACATAACAGGAATTAGATGAAAGATGGAAATCTACAAAAGTTGAGACTTTACAAATACACTTATAATTGCAAAAGTATCAGTCATTATAAGCAGAAGATAATTAATACTTCCCAGATGATCTGGAACTACTAGTTACTCAATACTTACATAAAATAAAACTTACTTTCCAGACTAAACTGCAAAGACTCTTCACTCGCCTCTGTCTCAGGACTGACCAGTTTCATTCTTAGACAGAGTTTACCATCCATTTCTGGGACAGTCCCAGAATCCTCTTTTTCACTCCCAAGTATGGGATCATTGGTCTCCACCATGCTTTCAGACATGACATCACTGGTTGCAATGGTGCTTTCTGGATAGTTGCTAATACCTAAAATAAGGGAGGCAGAGAGGAAGAAAGAAAGAACACTAAAATATACAAACAAAAAAAACAGCAATTCAAAGTCATCAATTTGCCTGTTTGGCTCCACCATTCTGCAGTATTGAAGGGGGTTCCTAGGATAGATCCTGTCACAAGTATCAACAACTACGAACTAGTATTGACACCTGGTCTTAAGAGGAGCAACAGGATTCAGTTCCACTTCTGCATCTGGACAAAGGATGCTGCATGAGCCCTCAGCCAACCCACATCTGCCAGCATCAGGCATAGGTAGCAGGAGACTCCAGACGGCATGATTGTTACCTCCCAGCACTGACTAGAGAAAACAAATAGGTTAATGTAGAAGTCTGCTGGCTGCTTCAGGAAGGAGGATCTAAGTTTTCTTGCCCTGTCAAGCAGCAAACTGATTGATTAGCCAGGGTACTGAATAAATACTACTTCTACCATACTCTCATCGCTTCCTTATAAAACACTTCTATATCACTGGCATAGCACTCACATTCTATTACTTGCAAGTAACATAATAAAATCTTTATACTTTTCCTCTTCCTTCCCTCCACCCTTTCTTTCCTTCCTCTCATCACCTTTGGTCTCCTGGAAATAAAATCATAGAATCAAACACCATAGCCCTATTATTCCAAAATAAAAACCAACCACATTAGTCAGGTCCAACTTCTCAGATCTAAAACTACTGCTTCCATAAAGAATGGTATCTCAGAAAGTCTACCTTAAATGTCAGTTTTTTTAATTCACTCACCAATAGGAGTACTATGTCTCTTGGGCTCCAATTTTAGGTGCCCAATAAGAGGTGGTGTTGCGCCAGTCAATGGTGGGATAATATCACCTTCTTTAGGCAAAGTGAAATGAAATGGGGTTTCTGAAACAAACAAACAAACGAAAACAAAATGATAAACAAAAAGCAAACCAACAGAAGTATAAAATGAGCAAAAATGTGGAAAACTGCAAAAAAGTATTTCAATTATTCTTTGCTCCAAAATTTTCATCAGGCCTCAAAACAATTCCCTATTACTGTCTCAGCTCTCTTTATACACATCATCACAATAGAACTGACAAAAAGTGGATGTGACCAGAGAATAGGCAAATAAAACCCAAAGTTTGGAGGGCCTGAGAAACACGGGGTCAACCCTGAGCTCCAAGACAGTACATCTGCGGATACTCAGCAATACAAATGTGGATACTTTCAAGTTGAGACAGTATAATAATTTGGTGCAATGCTAACTGCCTTTGACGTCTACAGGATTCTCCAAACGAAGGTCTGATATTAAGACTTATAAATTTACAGTCTACTCAAAGAGGTGACAGTGGATCTTACAAGTCAAAGGACTTCAAAAAACTCAGTAGTTCTAACATAGAAATTCTAAGGATTTCAGGGTCAGCAGTACTGATAAGCACTCTAGTTGTCAAAGTAATAATGTTCATATCTCAGTCTCTGTACAATGGTAAATGAAACATATGCAAGCATCCCCAGTGTACACATATATTTAGTGGCTACTAAATTACTACAAACATAAAAACATTTGTAAGACACAAAACTACCTTTAAGCAACATACCAGTTCCAGTTTCTCGATAGTAAGAATTTGCTGGTTTCCTAACTATTTATCTTTTTTGGGGTGAGCTGGCACCAGTGGCTCATGCCTGTAATCCTAGCTACTTGGGAGGCTGAGATAGGGAGAACCATGGTTCAAAGTCAGCCCAGGCAAATAGTTCTCGACACCTCATCTCCAAAAATAACCAGAGCAAAATGGACTGGAGGTATAGCTCAAGTGGTAGAGTGCCTGCTTTGCAAGCTTGAAGCCCTGAGTTCAAACCCAGTCCGGTCTAAACAGATAGATTGATAAATAAATAAAATGACAAATGTTTGGGAGAAAATACGAATTCTGCCAGACTTCTTTCTTAAACCTAATACATGAAAACTTGTTATTCCTTTCCTGGAATAACAAGTTCGAAATAACTATAATCTTGCATACCTAGTCACTACTACTTTGAAATAATTTGCCTCTTTCAGCTTTTTCAACTCTACTTCTATCCTTTCTTATTCTTTAATACCAATCACTTTGATAGTTCTTTTTTTCAATACTGCACACAACAACAACAAAAAACCTCTTATATCTTCAAGAATAAATGAATTTTAGGGCCAGGAAGGTAGGCAAAAAGTTAAGACCACATTTCAATAAATAAGCCAATCATGGTGATATACACTTATAATCCCAGCTATGTCAGAGACATAGGTAAGAGGTTTGCAGTAAAGAGATAGACCTGGGTAAAAACACAAGACCCTATATGAAAAAAATGACTAAAGCAAAAAAGGGCTGGGGTGTTGCAGGGAGGGCATGGCTCAAGTAGTACAGTGAGTGCCTGCTTTGCAAGTACAAAGCTCTGAGTTCAAACTCCAGTACCACAGGAAAAAAAAACTGCCAAAAATAAAATAATAATAAATTAATTTTGTAACTTGAAAGGATGGAAAGAGAAATAAAGGATGAAAATGTGTATGCTCAGCTAAAAGAGCTCTAAAAAGCAAGAAAGGAATCTTAACAGTGCATCATAATTGGCAAAGACTTCCAACCATAGTTACAGAAAGAAAAAGGTCAGGAACAAGTATGTAAGGATTCATTCTGGCTGGCTCCTTATAAAGCAAGTCCTGTAGGATAACAAAGAACTTAAAAGAGATGTAGTAACTACAAAAACACAAAGCACTTCACTAAACCTCATGCAGAGGGCTAGAGTCGTAGAGTTCCTGCCTGGCAAATGCAGAGGCCCTGAGTTCAAACCCCAATACCACAAAAAAATTTAAAAAAAAAAAGCTTCAGACCAAAGACATATTTTGTAGAACTTTCATTCCTAGAACAATTAAGAATGAAAGACCTCTGCACTGTTCTCTTGAAAGGAACCATCTCTCAAAACTGATGACCAAGACTTCTGAAAGTCTGTATGAAATGTGTAAGAACATCCTCTTCTATGACATGCCATAACATACAAATATAGTATGTAAGCAGTAATTACAGAAATTATTTTCTTTCCATAGTACTAGGTAAGACTTATTAAAAGTAATTAGGAGCCAGGCTCCAGTGGCTCACACCTGTAATCCAGCCTACTCAGGAGACAGAGATCAGGAGGATCACAGTTCAAAGCCAGCCCAGGTAAGCAGTTCAGGAGACCCTATCTCAAAAATACCAACACAAAACAGTACCAGTGGAATGGCTCAAGTGGTAGAACACCTGCAAACCAAATGTGAGGCCCTAAGTTCAAACCCCAGCACCACCAAAAAAAAAAAAAAAAAAAAAAAAGGAATTCAGGACCATTTCTAACTGCATCATGATAACCTAATAGAAAATTGAGACTTTTACAAGCACTGGGGAGAGGGCTGGTAGAATCTTCATCCAGTTTTCACTGTCTCGTTACAAGATTATTACAACAACCTATCAATCATTTTCTCTGTCTAAAGTATCCTTCTCTCCCAATCCCCAACTCTCTCTACACACTGCAACTATAACAACCTTCCTATAAAACATGCTTTGAAACATGACTACTAGTCAAAAAAACTCCAAGGTTTCACTAGAAGATAAATTTCAAATTCATTAGTCAGCATTCAATTAACTATCAGGAGCCTACATTTCCAGACTTCCTTTAATTATTTGTGTTCACAGAGCCTCTATTCAATGTCCTCCGAAGGCTTTCCCATTTATCTGCTTTTGTTCACTCATCTAAAAGTCATCATTAATCTAGTGTAATTATCACCAAATCCTGCAAAATACATCTACTGGCATATTTCATCCTTTTAAATTTATTGGAATTTTCCACATAGTCAGTACATCTCTAAATTATCAGTCCCTTCTTGCTTTTCCAGATTATGGTGTGCTGTACATCAGCATACAACCACTGAAGATATGAACAACAAAAGGAACTAAATACTAATTGTCAAACCACTGTTTATCCTTACTAATAAGGACTTCACAGAATTCATTAGTCCAAAGACATATTTAAATCTCTTTTTTTTTTTCATTATTCACATGTGCATACATTGTTTGGGTCATTTCTCTATCCTGCCCCTGTCCCTGACCCTCTCCCCACCCAATTTAAAACTCTTAATGTCAAGGTCTCTCCTAACTTTGTTATGACTTCAAACCCATATTTTCTTCATTTATTCTTACAAGAGTTGGTCATTTCTTGTAACTGATGAAAAGTCATCTAATCAAAAATTTCTTGGAGGGGGGAATAAAGAAGAGCACTGGAAGGGGTGAATTCAGGTATGATATATGTGATACATTATAAGAAGTTTTGTAAATGGCACTATATACTCCCACCCAGCACAATAAAAGTAAATAAATAAAATAAAATTTTCTATATTGTCTGAACAGTCATACCTAAGAATCTTTTACATTAACAGTCAGTTAAGATGACATTCTATCAAATAGAAATTATACCATGCATACATACTATTGATCACAATGTAATAAAACTAGAATTCAACAACAAAAGTAAAGACAAAAAACATGCAAACAGCTGGACCTGACTAACTCATTACTTAATGAACAATGGGTCATTGATGAAATAAAAGAGGAAATTAAAAAGTTCCTGGAAGTCAATGAAAACTGAAAACACAACCTACCGGAACCTAAGGGACACAGCAAAGGCAGTCCTGAGAGGAAAGTTTATAGCCATGAGTGCATATATTAAAAAGACTGAAAGATCCCAAATCAATGACCTAATGATACATCTCAACTCCTAGAAAAACAAGAACAAGCAAATCCCAAAACAAATACGAGGAGAGAAATAAAAAAATAAGAGCTGAAATCAACGAAATAGAAACCAAAAAAACCATGCAAAGAATTAGTGAAACAAAAAGTTGTTTCTCTGAAAAAATAAAGAAGATCGACAGACCCCTGGCAAACCTGACTAAAATGAGGAGAGAAAAAACCAAAATTAGTAGAATCAGGAATGCAAAAGGGAGATAACAAAAAACACCAGGAACATATTCAAATCAAAGAAATGGACAGATTTCTAGATACATATGATCTCCAAACTAACAAGAGACATTAATCACCTGAATAGATCTATAACACAAATGAAATTGAAGCAGCAATCAAGATCTCCCCAAAAAGAAAAGTCCAGGACCTGATGGATTCTCTGCTGAATTCTATCAACCTTTAAGAGAACTGTAACAACCCTCCTTAAACTGTTCCACGAAATACAAAGGGAAGGAAAAAACTGAATAACACGTTTATGACAGCCAGTATATACACTTATCCCAAACAGTGGAAAGACACCTCAAAAAGGAGAACTATAGCCAATCCCCTTAAATAACATTGATACAAAATCGCTGAACAAAAATAATGGCAAACAAATCAACAACGACATCAAAAGATTATTTCCCATGACCAAGTGGCTTTCATCCAGGGAATGCCAGGGTCGTTCAACATAACGAAAAATCAATAAACGTAATAAACCACATACAGAAGCAAAGACAAAAACCACTTATCATCTCCAAGATGCAGAAAAAGCCTGTGATAAGATCCAACACCATTCAGGATAAAACTCTTAGAAAAACTAGGAATAGAAGGAAAGTACTCAAACATTATAAAGCCTATATATGGACAAACCTACAGCCAGCTATACTAACGGAGAAAAACTGAAACCATTCCCTCTAAAATCAGAACGAGACAAGGCTGCCCACTATCTCCACACCTATTCAACAAGTACAGAATCCTAGCCAGAGCAATAAGCAAAAAGAAGAATACAAGGAATACAAATAGGTAAAAAAAACTGTCAAATATCCCTATTTGCAGCAGATGACAATGATCCTATACCTTTAAAGACCCAAAAACTCTACTCAGAAGCTTCTACGCACATCAATAGCT